ATCAGGTGAGGCGGTACCCTCTTCGCACACGATACAAAAGCTGCACGCACACCCCACGCTTGCGCCGAGCGACAGTTTCGCAGGCAGCCCCGTCGGGTAGGTCCAAGTTGAGGTAACAGCACAGGCCTGACCCTGTGCCACTGTCGAGGTGCAGACCCACTGTGGCCCATCCCTCTCCAGACCCAGCAGGACGAACTCCCATGAACTAAGCTGGCATGAGCCTCCTTTTCCTGCAGTGGCAAAGAATAGCAAGCATCACCTGTCGTGCACACCTGGCCACTTGGGACACTGCGTAACAAATCACGGGGATTGTGCGGGGCACTGGTCCTCCTGGAACACGCTGCCGAGAAGTGCCTTGGCGCCCTTTCCAGGCGGGGTGCTCTGGGCTGCCAGAACAAGCACTGCCAGCAGCCAGTGACAGCCCGGGCTTTCCTCTATCGCTTGCTATACCTTGTCTGTGGAGGCCTCCACTTCACGGTGTTTAAGAGATGATATGCAACAATAAGAGGTTTTGCCTGTTACATTTTTGCCTGTCATGCACCTGCTAAAGGCTTTTCAGAGGGAAAAAAACCCTACATCTGCAATGTAGAAAAAGTATCTATTTATTGGAAATACTTTGAAGCGGTCTTTTATGATACAAAACTCTCTCCGGAAGATGCGCAGGATGAGAGCCATACTCCAGGCCTGTGCCAGGAGCATGGTGCCTCCATTCCTGGCCTTCCCAGCGGCCCTCCAGTGCTCTGGAGGAGCTTCCTGGAAAAAGCACCTGTTTGTGGCTAGTGGCCAAAAGGCAGCAGTGGTCACCAAAATGAGCTGCTTTAAAGTAAGACCACTCCTGCTGCATCGCTGAATTTCAGCAGCAAAACACCAATGTGTGCTTTTAAAGGAAAACGATCTTCCCATTGCTGTGCCACTGAGTTTTAGGGGTATATTCAGGAGCAGGCCTCCAGGAAGCTGGCGTGAGCCCCCAGCATGGGAAGTTGCCAACTCCTCCCATAGACTCATAGGCACCAGCACAAATCAAAGGCCTGCGATGATAACAGAATAAACACCCTGCCCAATAAATATTGCAATCAACCCCCCACCCCATGGTAAGAACCACTGGCAGTCTTGTTCTCAGCAGTCCTCGTTGTAAGCCGTCCCAAGATGTCAAAGTGGTGGACGGAGCACAAGAGTTTTAAATAAAGAAAGAAAATGCAACTCATAAGAAAATAAACATGACTTGAAGGCTTTCCTGAAAGGGGCTTGATGAACTTCAGCTGGTGATGCATTCCAGGGCTGTGGAGCCACTGCAGAAAAGTTCCTCTCGCACGTGCCCACGAATCCGACTGCTTTCAGAGGATGGAATCTGAGAAGGGCATCCGTTGCCAGCCTGGAAGGAGGGGCAGGGTGGAGGTGAAGGAAATCCTTTGAGGAACTTGACTTCAAACCAGTGGGGTTTAAAGAGTTAAACCAGTACTTTAAACCAGGCTCAGAAGTGCCCTGGCCATCCAGTGCCAAAGCAAATACCAACTCCCGAGTTTCTTTGCTGGCTTTCTGAAATCAGCCATGTTAGCTTCCCTAAGTATCAGAAAACAAAAGCTGTAATTAAATAAAAGCAGCCTGAAACATGTTACAAGAATAAACCGATACACACAAGATCACCTTTCTGAGAAGGGAATCTGCTGCCTGCCCTTCATCGGAAAGGCATCCTCACGCCCTGACCGTGCAAAGCATGCGCGGCTGATGGGGCAGGGGGTGGCGGCGGGCAAGAACGGCTTCTAGGGGGGCCATGCGGGAGGGAAGGGATCCAGCTAATGTGCCTGTCGGTCAGATTAGGCCGCCGAGAGACCAAACCGCTTCCATCACTGTCCAAGGAGAGGCTCCTGCGCGCTGCCTAATGTGATCGCAGCCGTGCCGTTGGCACTCCTGGGAGAGCGGGGCAGCGCCACTGCAGTGTGCAGCAGGCTGTGAGTTTTAAAATCCTATTAGGCAGGAACTAACAGTAGCAAAAAGAAAGCAGGTATCCCCCAGTGGGGATTTAAAGATGTTTAGACGTAATTGGATTTTCCAAGCAGATGTCATTATTGTTAAACAGTTGCCCACTTGATATGTTCAAGTTGTTGGCTGTAATTGCTAAAATTAGCAGGTCTGCACAGAGCAAAGGTCAGTTGGTTAATATTGTGATGTAGTATTTTATGAAGTAATTCCAAATGCTTTTATGTTCTTTTTCTCCCCAGTCCAAGTGCTCTTTAAAGTAGTTGTGGGCTGATAATAAAATCATGTCTCAGGCTCTCTGGACAAATCCCCGACACTCATGGGCTAAGTGCATTTCAGCTGTTTTTTTTTTTTTTTTCTTCGTGTATTTATGGAGCTCTCCATGCAACAAAACCCCCACCTTTTGGTCTGGAGTCACGCTGGTTTTACTAAGGACTCCGTCGCATCATGAGGCTGCTGCTCCCAGTCACCCACGGGCGCAAGGTGTGCCTGGGGAAATGTAAGGCAGACCTTCTCCATGCTGCAAAGAGCCCCTGCATTCAGGGACGAATAGCCAGGCTTGTGTAAAAGGGTGGAGACACACTCCCAGGCCACCTCCTGGCCACCTCCTGAGCTAAATGCCACGCTAGATTCTCAGCTCTGGCAACTGAGACGGCTTCCAGCACAGCTGAGGGACTGGGGCTGCTTCCCATCCCTCCCTCGGCCAGATGGGATCCCACAACATGCTCATCCTCACAGGCCCCCTTCCCTTTCCTCCTGTTTTTTGGTTGTCCACGTGAGTCCAGCCCCATGTGAGTCTCACAGAGCGAGGATGTGCCACTCCCAGCTGGGGCATGCTGGGAGTTGTAGGCCTTTTTCCGTCTAAATGTGCAGAGGATTGTGCTTTCAATGGGCATTTTCAGGGAGAACCCATCAAAGCCGCAGCCTTTCCATCCTGGGTGGCTGTGGCCAGTTTGAGACCATCATCAACCACTACTGCTTGGGAAACCTAATTCGTGCTTGTGAGGGTTTCCATCTTACTAACTGGTCTGATTCAGGATCTGATCTTGGAAAGGTCTTCATTGTCATTCTCCATAACAAGGCAGTGAGGTGCAGCGTGTGCATGTCCACCAACTGCTGGGGAACATGGGCAGGAGGGGGCTGCTACCCTCACATCCTGCTTCTGAGTGTTGCATGGGCAGCTGCTTGGCTGCTCTTCCTTGGTTCTTATGAGATTGACTGGGGCAGCTTGGGGGTCCCCCCCCCCCGCTTTCCCCTTCTTGATCTCCTCAAGAGGCTGCACAGGCAGCTAAGCGGACTGTGCTTAGACCATGTAAACTGTTGTGAGTCCCCTACCTCCCTATCGCTGCCCCTCCTCAGGTCTTCTTCAGCAAGAATGGTTCTCCTGTCCAAGACTCATGTTTGTATTATTTCACCATCACCAGATTCACGCAACTGTATATTTTCACAATCCATGGGTCAACCCCGACCTCCCGCTTCCACTAAGCCATGTGCTATTGATCCAAAATGTCAACCCTCTGAGGGCATTCTGTTGATTCACAAATTTTCAAAGTACTGGTTGTGCTCTGGATTAGACCCAACAAAATCAATAGGGATTCATTTTGTTGTGAATAACTTCTCCCACTGATTTTAGTGGGTCTATTCTCAACGTAAGTCAAGAATCAATTCCTCGGGTTGGTTCACGCAACTGTTACAGGCTACAATGGCTTATTCGAGCCATGGTGCATTGCAGTGGGTGCCCTCCTTTTCAATATTCAGACTGGGCTGGGTGGGCCTCTTTGCTTACTGTGCCACTGAAATCTAGTCAGAACTACTACAACTCCTCTATGGGCTGTTGCAAGGTGATGCAAGGGTTGTTCAGCCCTTGCATCACCAGGGTCATGCAACAAGGTAAGCTGCCGTGACTCTTGTGCCATCCCTCTCGAAGGATCCGGTGGGCAGCTGGTTTGCCACCATATGAATGGTACACTGCACTGGATGGACCATTGGTCTTACCCAGCATGGCTGTTCTTACATTCTTATGGGATCTGCTAGGAGATCTGTGTCCTTTGAAGTAAATCGGTGGGAAATTCTGATCCCTAATTGTTCAACAATGGCAACAACTTAAGTTTTCTCTCTCCGCCCCAAATCATACTACTGAAATTAGGATAACTTCAGGGAATGGATTTTTAATGCAGAAGAGTTACTGAGCTCAATACTTTTCTGGCACTCAAATTTCTCACCTCTGCTTTCTTTGCACAAGTGGGGAAGGAAAAGTGAGCACCAGTTGCATGCTACTTAGTTTCTATAATTACCCGCACCGTACACAGATTGATGCGCCATTTAACCTGACAAAAGTGGGCAGTGGTGGCAATTTCCAAACCACCAAGGAACCCTAGAACAAGCCATGGATTGTGGGGTGGTTTGGAAACCACTTCCACTGTCCACCTATCTGGGTTTGGATAACACAACAATCTGTGCATAGGGTGGGTAGTGATGGAAATGAGGTGGGTGAAACTGGCATGCCTGGGGCAGGGAAAAGAAGACACCCTTTCCTTCTCCAGTTGTGTGTAAGTCCAGGCAATGTATACGTCTTTTGCACCTGGCTTTTTACTTGAGTATTTTACTTGAGTTCTGTTGCCTTCAGTTGTACACACTGCCTTCAACTGCCAGGTGACTTAGCCCTTCAGGCTGAAGTCCTCAGACTTTTCATTCAGAAATATTCTTAGTAAAATCCAGCTGAAGCTAGACTACTCCAGAGTTTGTTTTTAGAGGATCCCAACCTTAAGAGTAAGTGCATTGCCCATGTGCATTGATGTGCTCACACTGGCTTCCTCAGTACAATATGGGAGTTCAAAAGGCATCCCAAAAGATACGGCATGGCTCAATATTAAGCAAAATAATTCCAAGAAGTCTTTACCAAACATGTCTTGAACTCATTGAAGGAGTTTATTAGTTGGCTTCCGTTTTTACGGAACAAGAGTCCATTTAAGATTGTTCAAGCAGTTGTCATATTGCTTTTGGCACAGAAGTGAGGAGAGCTGCTAGCATTTCAACTGTTCCCTTCCATTTACTCTTATGGACTTCAGTTGACCGTCCTCCTCGATTTCAACTCTTTCTTGTCCATTTTCGACAATTTTGCGCGTGGTGATCCGTCGTCCGTTGATCACTTCAGTCGAAGTCGCGACAGATCGGAAGTTCTGTGCTCCACTGCTGTCATCACCAAAGGACCTGCAGGAGAACATCGTGTGCAAGCCAGGCCCGAAGGTGTTGAATCCAAAGTTGGTAAAGGCACTAAGCCCAGAAAAGAGACCCAGGGGCCCACCTCTGTTTTCCCCTCCGTTGTTGTCATCATCAAACTGGTTGTCCCAGAAGTCATGGGCAAAGATGTCCATTCCTCCAAAAAACTCCCTGAAGATCTCCTCAGGGCTGCGGAACACAAAGTCAAAATCAAATGGACTGTGGGAATGGCCTCCGGAAGCTCCTCTCCCTCGGTACCTTGGTTCTTTGACAGGCCTGTCATAGAGAGAACGTTTCTGAGGATCTGACAGAACTTCGTAGGCCTCGGCCACTGCTTTGAATTTCTTCTCTGCTTCTTCCTTGTTATAAGGGTTCTTATCAGGGTGCCACTTCAATGCCAGCTTATGGTAGGCCTTCCTAATATCTTCTTGTGAGGCATTTTGATGCAGTCCTAGGACTTCGTAATAATTCACCATCCCAAAGAAAAGGGTAGCTGGATTTGGAGACTATTTGAATGGTTTTCCCTGGGGACACAGTGTCCTGTGTGGTTTGGATCCAGTGGATCCAGTTGTTTTGGTTGTGGCACTTCTTTCCTCACAGGCCAATGGTAATGGTTTTGGTGCCAAAAGGAAAGAGAAAGGCTGCTTGCTCACATTGTATGATTTCAAGACATTTGCCGTGAGTCGTATTGTGAGGTCAGAAGCTTGACAACCAATCGGTGTACAGTAGCGGCTTAATCCATTGAAGTTTTCTGCAGGCCTATTGGTGGATGTGTTGTGCTAATTAGCTCCTTTGAAAGGTCATATTTCACATCTATGATGCAACTTGCTGCAGATGACTTAGATTGTAGACTTGCCAGAGGAGGGGTCTGTCCCTTGGGGCTTTTACAGGCCATTAAACCATCTACACACATCCAGGTTCTCCTATCCCCAGTCTGCATAATAAATGGGCACATCCCAGCTCCCACAGCCTTGTTTCCAAGGGATTCACTGCACTGCAGAGTGCAGCCATATTCCCGCCCCCTCCTCCCTTTCCTAAAGTTCCATGCACGGTACTAAGACTAAAAAGAAGAGATAAAAGAGGACTAGAAAAAATAAAATTTTGAAGAGGAGATATGAGTAGAAAGGCTCTTTAAATGCAGGGTAGAACATCATCAGAGTCCTGCTTGATCAGACCAAGGGCCCCAGCACCTGGGATCTGAGAAGTGGAGTTTGCCACTGTTTGGGGGTCCCATTTTCAAAAAGTGAGCAGAAGTTTGAAAATTACTTTAAGTGGGGGGAAGGCATTCGAGTGCTGTGCTCATGAGAGTAAGAAGAGTTTTGCCTCCTGTCATGACTCACATCCTATTCCAAGTGTTCTGCTCCTTCCAGGGGCCAGTCAGGCACCGCTGGAGGCTCACGAGCTTGGCCATCCTGGTGATCCTCAGGGGTAGGATGCAGCAGGGACTGAATCTGGAGGATGCATTGGCTGTTGGTAGACCGGTTCTCTGTGAATCAGCAGCCCTCCCCACCCCTTTGCCCTTCAGCTGAACGGGGGTGCTGATGACCTTGGCTGCAATGTGCTGGGGGGCTCCATCTGAGGAGGATATTATCACTCTCAGTCGTGGGCAACATTGTCTCTGCGTGATGATTCTATCCCCGGAGGCAGCGCCAGCCTTTAACTGTGGGCAATGTATCCGCAAGGTCTTGCTCAGGCAATCGTGGGCTGCCGATTCCAAATGCGCGCTGTGAGCTGCAAAAGGCAGAAGCGGCCAAAAGGCCTCATTAGAAGAAACGGGCAACGCTCTGCCTGTGCCGAATTCCTGCTGGATCGTGGCTTGTGCTGCTTCCCTGCTCACTGTTCACACGCCTGGGTGCAGAGCCTCAGTGGGGTGGTGCAGGGTGGTGTCCCCATCCTGTGCAGACCGCAGGGAATGCTTATAGGGCCTTGGTGCACATGGCCGGCATCATCGCCATGACCACCACTGGTGTGGTGGCAAATTTCAAAATGCAGGTGCTTTTCAAAGCAGTCTTCATAGCCAGGACCCAACAAAGAGTCCCAAATTTCAGGGAGCTGCATTAGTCCATTTCAACAAGCCAGTTTTAGCTATGATCGTCTCCACCAGATCAAGCCAGCCCCAGACACTTTGCTTTACAGCAGGGATAGCTCATGCACAGGGTATGTTTACACATTGCTAAACAAGGCTGCTCTGCAACCACACGGCAAGGCATCTTCCCTTGGGTCCTGGGTTCACACATTCATGTGGTTTCTGGGCATGCATGGTTTCCATGCTCCTCCATCTTCCCTCCATGTGGAGGCACGTTTCCCAGCTGCACTTGCTGCTGGAAAGCAATCTCAGGGTGAACTGTTCCTGCCGGCCTTGCCCGCCTCTCCCTCATTGGCCCACACATTCCTCTGGGCGTGGCCACAGCCAGCCACTACCACTTTTGGGGGGGTCGTTTTGCTTTAGGCGGCTCAAGCGTAACACTGCCGCGCAAGCATCCCCTGCTGCTGCAGGCCATGCCTGTGCCCATCCCTCCTGCACATGTGTCCACACGCCTCCCCATGCGCAGGATGTGTGCAAGCTGCCAGGGGCAGCCCCTCCCACAGCCGGGAATTAGGAAAGCATCCCACAGGCACCAAGCCAGGCGTGGAGGGCGTGTGTCCTGTTGGGTAGACTCTTCCCAGGGCACCTGTCCGGGAATCTTCCAGGAGAGTCTGCCGGCAGGACAGTGGTGTGGTGGGGCAGGGCACGGGGCTGGTTTGTCACAAGGTTTGCCAGGGACGGGGCAGGGCAGGGCAGAGGGCAGGAGGCAGAGCGGGGGACACGTGCTCCATGGGACTCTCGTCGTGTCGGCGAAGTCCCACGCCCAGCCTGAGTGCTCCGTGAAGCAGGCAGCTTCCCTCGAGGAGACCTCTGGCGACCACAGTGGCACACGCATGGTGCCACTTCAAGGCACCGCTCCAGTGCAGGGAGCAACCAGGGCGGAGCGCCCGGCACAGCTGCCTCCGTGGTCACCACTGCCAGAGGCGATGCAGCGCGCTGTTCCGCTGCCAGCAAGATCCGGGAGTGCCAGCCGCAGCCCCAGCTGCTCTTGCTGCCAAGCTCTGTGGCGGAAATGCAGAAACCTTGCAAAGCTGTTGCTGGGACAAGCAACGGGGAAGCACAAAAGCCTCACAGCGTTGATTCTCCACAGGTTTTCATGGAAACCACGCTTCACCATGGATGCCGAATTAACACATTTTAACAAGCCCTGCCTGCATCGTTTCTAGCATGGCTTGTTGTTATGTGTGAATACGGCCACAGCATATTTTCGCTGGGATAATCCCCTGCTCCAGCTACTGTGAGGATTGCGGCTAAACGCAGAGGGAACAGGAGAAGCGAAGGGAGTGGAAGATGCCAGTGGCATTCCTGCAAACTGCCCCCCTGCCCCCGCAGCCTGTTCAGTCCTGCTCCTGGGGCGCCAATAGCCTAGGGTGCTAACTGGACTCCTTGTCCTCTTTTCCTGGGTTTAGCTCGCTGACTGTTCTGAAGTGTGTCTGTGGGTGTGTACTAGGATTGGGGCGAACCCCCTTTGGAATCTCTTCTGATAGCCTTTCCCTCCAGCACCCACGGATTTCCTCTCAGGCCTGCAGAGCGAGCCAAGCCTACAGAAATTCCGCCAACGTGTGTGGATCCCCAGTCGTGCAGCCAGCAACCTGCCCTGTCAGGAAGGGCTGCAGGACACAAAGGGAGGAGCTGCGAGGGGCCTGCCAGCCACCATTCCTGGCAGCCAGCCTTCTTCCACATTCAGAGCTGCAAGCGGCTGTGGCGGGTGCAGAGGACTGGTGTTGTCTGTGCAGTGCACGGGATTTGATTCCTGGTGAGCACCCTGCAAGTGCTGGGCATGCTTTTATTTATTTATTTATTTATTTATTTATTTAAACCTTTTGCAGACCATCCCATTACCGAAGTCTCGGGACGGTTTAACAATACAACTGCGTAAATTTTTTTAAAAACACAGCATCCTAAAATTTAACTAATAAAACCCCAATTAAAACAGTCAGGTCTTAAAACACTGGGAAAGTCAAAAGGTTTTGGCCTGGCACTGAAAAGAACAGAGTGACGACACCAGGCGAACCTCTATGGGGAGCGAATTCCACAATTGGGCTGCCACCTCAGAGAAGACCCTTCTCCAGGTAGTCACCCTCCTAATCTCCTTCAGGGAGGGCACCTGGAGAAGGGCGTCTGCCCCAGATCTTAAGGGGCGGGTAGGCACGTATGGAAGGAGATGCTCCTTCAGGTAACCTGGCCCTAAGCCATTTAGAACTTGCCAGGAACTTGGACTCAGGGTCACTTCAAGCTGTGCCAGAGACCAAGGAGCTAAGCCCAGGGAATCCAATGAATTCCCGCCAGTGAATGGATTTCCCAAACATCCGTTGTGTGCCTGTGCTCTCAGGGGGAGCTTGCAAATCAGTGTCTACTTTTACGGGTCTAATGCAGGCATCTAAATTTGTTGGTAATTTCAGTGCTGCTTCAGTAAGCTAAAAACGGTTATGAAGCGGAAAGGGCGTTTGTGTATATGAACGTGTGTGTGTGTGAGAGAGAGAGAGACGGTGAGGGGGAGAGGAAGAGAGGGAGCAAAAGAAATCAAGAGCGGGGTACGAGAGATGCCCGCATGAAATAACTAGACGCACGAACTAGTGAGGCAGCCCCATCCCTAGAAACCGAGGCTTTGAAATGAGAAATGTTTTCCGTATCTTAAATCTCAAGTACAAACAATAAAAACCAGCCCAGGCTGTGTTCTTTGAAGAGAAAGTACGAGTGACCTGAGCAGTGGTTATCAGCAGCGTCATTAAGATAAACCCTTAACATGATTTAAAGCATCCGAAACTGAAGGCAGCACTTTCAGATACTAACAAAATGGCCTGACATTGGGGATGAAAATCAATAGTAATCAGATGTCACTGAAAATACTCAAAAGTGTCCCCTGACTGATGGAGGTGAGATTAGTGTAAATATTTGTATTCTAATCAGTGGCACGCGCGGGTTGGAGGCAGCCTCTCTGTCTATTTAATTAATGGAGTGGCTTTTAAAAAGGATCCTAATCATATGTGATTGTATCTGCTTATCAACATTTTTGCTAATTAGATGATATGGAGGCAGTCGTTCTGCTAATTCCCTCATCCGAACAGCATATCCTGCACAGATAAGTGCAGTCTCTTTTTAATAAGAAACAATCATGAGACAGACTAACCTTAATCGTGCTTATTATCCTTGGAGCTTTCACTCCACCTCCACCACTCCCTGTACGGAGCTCTCTGCTTCAGAATGCCAGAGGGACCAAGTTCTTCTGGTCCTCCTCACCCACCGGACCCAGTCATATGTTCCACAGGATTGTCCTTTCCGTGGCAGGACATATACTGGGGGCCTCCGAAGAACTTTCCTCCTACATCAGGTCCACCACAGCCCGCCCTTTCATATTTTAACTTGAACCTACCACATGAACGGTAGGCC